CATCGCGTTCCGTTCGACCGTTCGAACGGGAGAGGGGTTCGCATTGGTCGCAATGCGACGCTGTGGTGTCAGGGGCGCAGGGCTTAGGTGCGTGCGAAAAAAGTTGGCCGTTTCAGTGGTTGTATATACCTCGCTCGACGGCTGATTTTGGGGGAAAAGTGGGTGAGGTTCGGAGTTTAGGGTAGGTTTTGGCTGTGTCAACTTGCCTCAGAATCAAATACTATAGAAAGAGGAAAGTCGCGTGGAGGAAGGCTGGGGTCGCAACTGTGCGGGTTTGCAACTGAACCCTCTCGAGAGGAGGGGGGGGCGCCAAAATCTCGAAAATGTTCAAACGTTGACGGCTGACCCTGGTGAAAGTGGTGAACCTGTTAGCTCACATTGGCAATGAACACAGTTTTGACGGTTTGCTTTCGTTGGGGACGGGGGGTGGTTTTTAGACTTAATGGTGAAGCTCAGCCTTACGAGAATGCTGATTGGGTATACGCTTTACAGTTTAGCTCCGCACGCAAACCGCGCGCATCAAATGGGGGCTCTAGGTGAAACTGGGCAACTTGCAGAATATTAGGTCACGTGACTGAGAAGCAAACAGTAAGATGTTTTGAAAGATTTGTCACACATGATGTTTAAAAGGTTGTCAATTTTCGCTGAGATTGTCGCGTATGCGCGCAGTAGCATGCGGAATGAGAATGGTGCTTATCATGACTTCGTAAATATTTAGCATTCATATCGAGCTCGGACGATTTAGCGGTTTATAGAATTGCCGCAATTGAAGAATCGGTGTGTAAGTGGAATATAAGCAATCAATAAGCATCAACCGAGCTGTGATCGAAATCGGAAATATGATTTTTTTCGCCATTAGTCCAAGTTCAGATAGTAGAGCCGCTCAACTCTCTGCTCCTTTAGATGAAAGGGTGGAAATGGAACATATTCCCGTGCCAGGAATCTGGTTCAGTTGAACCGAGTGCACACTCAAGTGTCGCTATTTTTATAAGTGCAGCTGCCTTTCATTCCCCTTTCTGTCACCCATATTCACCGTATCCCCGTCCCATCTTGTGGCGTGTAGGATATATTTACTATCTAATATTTACTGTCACCACGAAGGCTACAATGAAATCAGCGGTACTCAAAATCCTAACTTCTTTATCGAACGTTATCGATTGTTATCGCTTTTGATCACCCACTATCCGTGTTCCCGTCCCATCCCTACGCCACATGTGACAGCCAAGGTTCCAATGTCACCGCGAAAGCCGCAACGAAACTGATAGCATCCGCACTTCGACGCTCCTTATCAGTTCTAATCAGTTGCTACCATCTTCTTCCAATCACCCTTATCAGTTCTAATCAGTTGCTACCATCTTCTTCCAATCACCCTTTTGGTCCCTGCCACACCCCACATAGTATTCATGAGTGCGAACATCCTAGGGTCAACGCAAAGGGCGTTGCGAAACTGACGACATTAGCATTCCGATGCCCCTTATCAGCCTTTATCATTTGCTATAACTTTCCTTCGCTCACCATTTGGTTTCCAGTCCTACCCTACTCAATATTCATGAGTGCTAGCAATCCACTGCTAACAACGGCGTAAGGAAGTTGGTGACATCGGCATTCCGAAGCCCGTTATCAGCCTCTTTCAGTACTTATCACTTCTCGCCACCCATCGTCAGTGTTCACGCCCGAACCCCTATATACCCTAGAAGTTTGAGCGCTTATTGGTATAAAGGAAACGAAATTTTGAATTTCCGGTCAGGCACACACACACATAACCGCTTAGCCGATTATATATTGTAGGATCTTCGACCAAAAATTCTGAATCGCATTTCTTACAATAGGTGCTACCACATATGCAACAACGCCATGTTTCACCCTAGAGAAACAGAAAACAGCTAGGACACATCGACAGCAGGGCACGTTTTGGCTTCTTTGACCTCCTGACACCAGCGATTTGGCGAACACGATCCTCCTGGCGGTGAAGGCAAAGGCGCACAGCCTGTTTGCGCCTTCCAAGCAAGATCCTACTGTATATAATTCGCTAAGTACATATTAGGTTGTCCCGAAATTAATTCCGGTTTCAATGTCTCATACATTATTTGATATTTTTCCGAGAAACCATACCATTGCTGTACTATTGCATATCGTTGGAAAGCCCATTTCATTCTCTTTCTTGCACGGCCATTGTATTTTGATGGGACTCAGGCCTTATTTTTTTCAAAGGTTTGAAGTGAAGGCGTCAAAGTAGTGGTTTGGCAGGTTCACTTCTATGAATTGAAATTTGGAGAGGGTGCTGTGCGGACTGCTCGGAATAGGAGCTAAGGATGTTGCAATAAAAGCACACTGCTTCGATGGCTCCGAAGCTTCCAAGTTAGGGAAATCTAGATTCGAAGTGAGGGGGGTTACGGACGACATTCTCCTCTTGACAGCGGCCTTCTGAAGAGCCGGCAGAAGAAGATTTTCAAACAAGTGTACGGCAGCCAGCAGCATAACCTTGAGCAAGTGTACTGAAATTTTCGGAGTGCCTGAAGGTAGCCTTGGCCTTCCGGGGTAATGATGCATCGCAGCTTTCTGGACCCAGGTGATTGGTAGAGCATGAATGTCTGTCCATAACATCAATATAATGCTCCGTAAAGAGCAAGGCCTCTAACCAGAAGAAGGAAAAGAACTGTTCTCCATGTTGACGCTTAGCCACATGTCGCACAAAGGTCTTCGTGTTCGGTTTCTTAGGGATAAATCAACCTATCCAGCTTCGCTTCTTATATTGCATTCGAAGGATCTCACCCTGACTAACCTCCTGTTTTCGGGCAATCTCGACAGCTTCGTGGGGAGAAAAAGATTTGAAAACCGAGACATGATGGAGAAGACCTTAGCCGATATTTGAGCTTCTTTTGTTCCTTTATCTCAAGTTCGTTAACTAAACCAGTACGCTTCCTGTTAATAAAAATGAGTAGTTTCCAACACTCTTTTGAATTACTGAAAATATTGAGTATGAGCTGAGATATGTTGCTTTGAAGACGGAGGTCAAAAACCGGCACCAATTTCGGGACAACCTAATATGTCTGTGCGTGTGTGTGTATACGTCTGTTTGTAACGAAATTCGTAGCTCCGGTCACAGCAATGATAGCGCCATGGTTCTTACATATGTTATAGGGGGTGGTATGGGGACACAGGTGGTACGTGACAGGAAATGATAATGACTGATAATAGCTGATAAGAGGGGCTAGAAAGCGAGCATCGCCAATTTCGTTGCCGTTCATATTGGTAAAAGAGAGTCTATACTAACAAGTGTTATGTGGGGCGGTCCCGGGACATTGGTGGTACATGGGAAGCGATAGCAAATGATAATGGCTGATAAGGCGCGTCAGAACGCAGAAGTCGTTTATTCCGTTACGTAGCTTGCGCTGACACTAGAGCGTCCCTACTTACAAATTCTATTTGTACATGCACACTGTATCATTGTATGACTGCACTTAATAGCAGTCTATTGCATAAACTCAACAAAGTCTTCAGCAAATGATAACTTTCATCTCCGTAAAGAAATCCCAAACTCATTGAACCGCTAATTCTTTCGGGGTTCTAGAAAATAGTGACTGTGAATAAATGATAAGCCTTAGCTCTTCACTCATGTAAATAGGCATAGTTCATTTTAATTTTGAGACTGACAGCAATCCTATTCACCGCTAAATTATCTGAATTCAAGAAGAGTGCTGGATGTTTACAGTTGTGAGATATATACCACTTCAGCTCCAGACATTATCACGCGTATTCTCGATGGACTTCAGCGAAACTGGGAAAGGTCTAACACAGTCATTATTGAGGTGGCTAATGGAGTACCTCATGCTGATCTGATCCATGGGTCTTTCAGTTTCACTAGAACCTGTAGTGTGATGCGCGCGATAGCGGGCGGAGAAAAGTGGTAGTTGTATAAGCGCAAAATGAAAAAATCTATGAGCTAAGAGTAATGAAATCAGTTTGGGGGAATGGAGTTCAGGTCACTTGAATACTTGAAAGCTGATTTTTGCGCGTTCACACTATCTTGATGGGAGGGTGCAGACAAGCTGTTCGCGTCGTCGTCGACTCTATCCCCCACCAACTCTCATAACACTCAAAACAAGCAGTTTTACAAGTTGTGGGTAAGTATAATACCGCTCCCAATTTTTGAAATTCTACGTTGTGCGACTGCTTTGTAGACACGCAAGCTGTCGCCTCGTCACAACTCCCTCGAAAGATGGTTAGATGACAGGATCTCCGCAGCAGTAGACTCGCTTTTCCGTGGAGACTCCAACCATGTGCGAAACTACTAATTTAGTTGAATTGATAATAAGTCATCCCATAAAAAGTATAGTCGATCCCCCGTTTAACGGTCTTGCCTTTCTCCATTTCCTTTATCTTTCCAATAGGGGAAACTTTCGACCAGCCGCGATTCGTACCCGGATTTTTGCTTTCCTGGCAACTTTGTACTGCCAGTTGCACCACCGGGCACCATTTCACCCCAACTCAGCTTCTTAGCTTATCAGCTTTCACACGTATAACTTGATGTACTGGTTAGTCGATATCGGTAGTGAATCGCGATGCTGAACGCTTTTGTCCGGAAAGCAAGTGGTCCGAATACGAGACCCGCATGGAGCGAAAATTGTGGCCATAACTCAGCATTCTTGTGACACTTTCCGCAATGCAAGCTGCGGAGTAAAACAGGAGTTATCCAATAAAAGCAAGTCAAATTGCTAATGAAAAAAGAATGTCATATTTGTATTAGGTTGTCTCATAAATAGTGTCG